ATATCTCCCTAGCAATAATAAGCTCAATGAACCATGGTGCTTAACCCATTCTGACCTCAACTCACCACCTCTCTAACTAGTTTGATGATGTTCTTGAGGCTGAGGTTATGTGTATGTGTGTTATTCATCTTTGTAATTCTAACTCCCAGCACAAAGTCTGAGACCTGCTGTGTGTTCAACGCCTACTGAGAAAAATGAACACTCAGCTCATGATGAATGATGTTGACATTAATGACTCTTGAGAATTAACTGTATAACTTTGTTTCTCCATTAAGGTAGATTACTGAGAGGCACACACCTAGAATCATAGCTGTGTCTTCCCACTAAGCTAAGACGTAAGGGAAAGATTTTGTGTTCTCCAGTGTCTGGAGTTATAAAGACTGAAAAAAAGTTGTTCTAGGATTAAACATCACCTTTCTCAGCAGATATTTATGGAGGATCTAGGAATCAGCCACAGTACTGTGTGCTGGGGTGGCTTTTTTTTTCTTCTAAAGGAACTCTAAGTCCAAGGAAGACAACAGAGAGGTCACAGTAGATACACAACAAATATGGGTTGAGTGGAAGAATGAATAGGTAAGCATACATACCACAAAGTCACATGATGTGTGCAGTACCAGGGCTAAGATGAACATGACTCAAGAGGATGGATAAATGAGGGGTTAAAAAGCCAGAAAGGTGGTACAACAGGTGGTAATGGCACTCGGGAATAGTGGCCTGGAAATAGTTTGGTTACGTTGAGAGAACAAATGAGGTGACAGAGATTAAGGACTTATGAAAACACTTGGAACTGGCGTTTATGACTATCTAATAAATGCGCCACACATAATAGTGACCTCAATTCTCACAATTTCTGGGCAGCTAGACCCTCTCTACACCCCAGCTATCAGACAGCACTGGACAGAGAAAAGGAGCTGATGCCGGACAAAACCCATACCATTTCCCCATAGTGATTCTGACAGAGGCAGAATATCAGCCAGAGAGAATGAATGCAGCAGATTCTGAGCGATAGACTCTAGCCACAGGGAAGCAACAAATCCCCAAGATAAACAGCACCTTGATCATTTTATCTCAAGCCTAAGTCCTGCTTAGTTTTTCTCTTCTATTTGGAGCCTTAAGTCAGTCTTCTTTTAGTCCCCATGTATAAGAAACCTGTAAGGGTAGGAAAGGGCAAAAAAATGATAGGGAAAGGATTATTCCACACTTAATATCCAACTTCTCATTAAATGCTTTCAAGTTTCTGCATACCTTGTTAAATTCCAATGGAAGGACAGATATCAGGCCCTTTAGTAGACTGAACCTTTCTTTTTTTCTTTTCCTAAAACATGGATGACTTTAATCCTTAGCAGAGGGTCTAGCATTGCTGGCATGTTAACTCTCCTGAGCCAGTGGCCTAGAGCCTAAGGCTATCTCTATACCCAGTGCCTTGGAGAATTCCCCTGGCCTTCGACCATCAGGATCCTGCTTGATTCATTCACCTACAATTTCTGATGATGAGATTGGCATTTCTAGGCCAGTACAGATATTTATCTGGAGCTCAGGAAGAGCTAGAAGCGAAGAAATCATCCCTGTCTGGGTAAAGGTGGCCCAAAGGCAGGTGACTCTACTTGTTTTACAGATGCTTTTGAAAGAAGATTTCCAGCCCTACCAAACTTTCCAACTCTCCTGCTCTGTCATCTTCTAGTCCTTCCCATGATCTGTAAGAGTGACACTATAGCAACAACCTTATAAGACTTAAAGGGTGAGTGGGATCCAGTACTCAAAAGCCATGTGACCTTGAGTAACTAATTTGATCTTGACAAATCTCATTTTCCTTACTGATAAGAGGGAGAGCAGTTCTCCACTGATGGTTTTTAAAGGAGACAAAGAATTGAAAAAATATACTTGATGTGTCTGTGCCTATCTATAATCTAGTAAACTCTTCAGTAAATATTATTATGTGATGATTCATACAGGCTTTTGGGGGCCAGCCTGAGAATCAAGACCTCAATGAGACATACCCTCCAATTTTACCCCACAAGCAAATGCAAATGCTATCAGTGAGTGTCTGTAAAGGAGCAGTCCTTTACTACTCTGGTGAGGTCTGGACTATATATATATACACTTTACTATGTTAATGTACAAGTGGCAGAAAACTAGCTTTGAGTGAAAAAGCCAAGTGAAGGTACAAAGCTCTGAGTTCAAGTCCCAGTACTGACACAAAAACCAAACCAAAACAAAAAAGTGATTTCTAAACCCTCCTCTCAGCAATTCTGATAAGGTGGTGTTAGGATTCATTATAGGTGAGGGAGAAGGAGCTGGGCTGGGGCCTGTCTCTTCCCACACAACGTAGGTTCCTTTACCCATGAACAGCCAAGGCTTGGTCTAGACATGGTGGTTAGGAACAGTATAGTTGGATATAGAATTACCTAGTGATACTTTTCATCCAGTGTCTGATGACCATAATTGAGAGGCAGAAGAGGGAATGGGAAACATGATAAAGGCATGATCTTGGGGCAATGAGCAGGATGCATTGAGAAGAAAAAGCTTGATTTTTCAGTCCTAGAAAGGTACTTCTCTAGGAAACCACTGGCATTAGATGAGAGTTCAGATACTGGGAATGTCTCTGTCTCAAGGACCCCACAGTCTCCTAAGGAAGATAAGCAAGCAAATGAGAAGTACAATACTGTTGACAAAGGTGGGATGGTGGTGGTGGGGGGGTGGGGTGAAAGGGTAGAGGGATGGAAGAGTAGAGAACTCTTTCCCACAAGGAGGGAGTCTCTGGAGTAACAATGTAGGCTTTCCCCCTCTGGTTCTTTATCCACTCTTCTCTGGGAGAGGTGGAGTAACCAATGTGAAAATCTCAATAAAGGAAATAGACAGGTTAGGTTCAGATACTGCCTGCTCCTCTATGTTGGGGGCCATATGCCAGTCAGAAGCACACACATCCCGGCTCTAAGTTCTGTGAGGGACATCTCCACTCTCATTTGGGGTCGAGAGCACCTGTCATAGGCTGTGTCAGTCTGTCAAAGTGTAACAGTGTTAGGAGACCCGTGCAATTCATCTAGGGCTTCAAATAATTAACAAAGATAAATATAGAATTCCACACTTGTTTTTGGTCTTACTTCTTGATTGGTTTAGAGCTTGGATGTGGAAAAACAGTGTTGTATTTTGTTAAATCCTTTTGGATGACAATAATAGCATGACCTCTTCAGTGATCTAAGCACTACATTCATGAAGCTGTCAGTGGCTACCACCACCATTCATGGTAACTGGAGCTAAAGGCAACAGATAGGACACAGATGATTGGTGCTGGAAGTGGCCTCCAAGGTTCAGAGTAGCATCCAAGACTGCTAGCATGTCTACAGGGACAGGAAACTCACTACCGCGTGAGGCATCCTACAGTATCACTGGCTGTCAGAGTGTTGGCAAGCTCTTCCTTTTACATCTCAGGAGCATCTGTCCTCATCACCCTTTATCTTGTGGATCTCTTTGACAGGTGCTAGTTAGAGTATCAGGTAACTGGAATTTGAAACAGGCCACTTTAAAGCAGTTCCTGTTTATGCTGTTTTAACTGAAATTGAGATGGTGTTCTAGAATAGGAAAGGATATGGAGGTTAAAAGCAAGATTTGAGGGCTTGGAGAGATGGGGACATAGATACTGGCTACTTTCTAGGCATATGACCTTAGCTCAGGTCAGTCACCTTTTCAGAGCTGTGTCATTTGAATAATACAGTTCAGTAGCTCTCCAAAAGGGTTGCTTACATGTTGTTTACAATTACTAAACATGATGCCTGGCACAAGGTAAGTGCTCAATAAAAAGTGGTGTTGACATGACTCCTATGTAATCAAGCAGTGGGAGATGGATGCAGCGATGAATACAACAATCCTCACACGTAGGACTATTTGTCTAGCAGAGGAGACACACACAAACCCATCATTTCTGAAGCTCAGGCTGCAGAATTCCCCAGTCTGTTCTAACACCCTATTCTCTGAGTGAATACAAACTCCCCAGAGCACACAGTTCCCTAAGGACCAGTCATGCTAAAGAGACTAGGAGAGTGGCAGCAGTGGAAATCAGACTCTGATGCTGCCAGGGTTTCTAAGAGCAAGCCCTCCCAAGAACCTGCAATCCCACCTCTGGGAACAGAGGGAGCAGAAAGAAGCCAGCTGGCTCCTGGAAATAACAGCTTTGATGGTGAAGATTGGTTTACCTCTGTGCCTGCGGCTGCAGCCCTACCCACAGGCAGGACAGGTGCTTGCTTTTGTAGCCCTGATCTTTATACACCCACCCACCTGCTGTCTGATACCTGTGATTCTAAAGGAATATAAGGGGGAAAACCTGAGGGTAATATTTTCAATTGTGCCACATTTTCCTGTTTGGAATTCTCCAATTGTTTGTTAACGTCTTGACATGGAAATCCAACCCCTTACCTGAGCATTCAGAGCCCTTTGTTACTCGGATCTGATCAACCTTTTACCTCTCGCTAACCCAGCATGCCCATAGACTAAAATCCAAACATCAGTCACACTTTCCTTAATGTGTACTCAAAACTTCTACTTCCAGGCCTCTGGACGTGCTCTTGGTTTATCATTATGACAAAATGAGTCTCTGCCAATCTTTCTAGGACCAGTCACCTCCTCCATGAGACTCTAGCATAAATGACTGCTCTCTCCTTGGGCTCTGCAGAAGATAGGTGTCATAATGGAAGCAATTCTCACAACCTGTCTCCTCCTCACAGCCATCTACCCAAATACCTCCCCTGCCTTATTAGGCTGCATAGTGGTGGTTTCTGCACACCCACTCCGGCATCTAGTTTCAAACCCTTACTAGGCCAGGAGCTTTGAAATGCTCTCTGAATTAAAATAAAATATGTATTTATTCAGTAGATTTTAGTTTTCTTCCTAAGAGCTCACTCTGATGTGGAGAGGGAGCTAGAAGGAACCATGGAGTTAGAGAATATCTGAGTATCATAGGAGTATCTGGCACCTACTAAGCCTGGCAGGAACTTTTTGTTCTCTTCCCATGCCTCCCCATTCACAATACCAGGCACAGGGCTGTGCTGAGGTGTATATGGGGTAGGCTTCCTCTTCTCTTTTTCTATGCACTCAGTGTAAGAACACAGTCTGTGGTAAGCATCAGGAGTCCAGGTGCTATTTTTTTAAGAAGAAAAAAAAGCTTTTTAAAAAAAATAAATGATCTTGTTTTTGCTTTGGGTTTTCTTTCTTTTAGAGAGGGCATGTGGACACTGAAAGGGAGGGAAGAAGGGTGAACAAATGCAATTATGATATTTAGTATAAATTAATTGGAAAATGACCTATGTAACTTGTGAGCAGGGATGTCAGGGGAAAACTAGAGAAAAGCAAAGGGAAGGGGTGACATTGTCCAAAAAATATATTCATTACTTGGCTTATGAAACGATAACCTCGCTCTATAAAACCCTAATAATAATGGTAAAGTTATATTAAAGAACAAATTATCAAAGGATCTTACTTAGTATGAGGTTCTCATTGTCTGACTAATGAACCCCAAATGAGAAGGTATGTTAAAGGTTTCATGTTCAGGTTACAGGAAGAGCTAGTCTCAGATACAAAGCCCTAGACTCAGTCTCCTAAATTCAATTTCTTTGTCAAAGGCTTGTAAGAGTACTCTAGCCACTTGCAAGCTCCATAGTACATCACAGCATGCAGAGTTCTTTATACATGTGTCTGAGTGTTAGGAGGATCTACTTTGTTGTTTACCCTTGTGTGCATGCCTCTGAAACACGAAAGTCCTCTCTCCTCGTGATTTTCACCTTAAGGGAATCGTTATTTGTGTTCATCCTGGGGAGTACCTCTTGAACATTCCCAATACACCATGATTGCCTGCCTAGGAAGAAGTTTTTGTTCCATTTTCTAGATGGCAGATTCAGGCCAGGGAGATCAAGTACATATCCTAAGGTCACACAATAGAACTAAGAGTTCATCTTGGATCTGCCTCAAAGCTGGGGGCTCTTTCCACTATGCCACAGTAACATGGACAGGGAAATAAAAGCCATGTTCTTGGCACAAACTGTTCCTTTTCCTGGAAAGGTACCCAGTTGGAATGATCATGCCATAATGTTTTAGTAGACTGTGAGGGCTAGAAAGAAGCGTTCTACTGATGAGGAACTATATCCAGAGAAGTGAAGTTGCTCAAGGTAGTAGTAGTGTTTGACAGAGCTGGGACTTGGCTCTCCATCTTAACTTGGGGCTCCTTTGAATGGATTAAGGGGTGGAAGAGAAGAGAAGTGTAAATGCTCTATGGTTATAGCTGGTGTTAGATGGATCAGCTATACTTCCCTGAGACTACCTGATCACCACAGAGAATAGATTCCTTAATCCTTAGGGCTTCATTAGCTACACGAGTGGCTATTGATGACTCAAAACATGCCTAGGAACTGAACTTTCATCTAATTTTAAGTAACTTAAGTTAATACGGATAACTACATGTCTACTACACTTACATTAACAACTCCAGACCTAAGAAGACCACAGCTGTAGCCTCTTAGAGCTAGAAAATACATTTAGGATCACTTAGAAATCATTCCAAGACAGGCTTTCCATCTACATCATTCCCATTTGAGTGGTTCTGATGATGAGGAGAGTCATTGCCATTCAAGGCAAGTATTGGACTCTGACAGCCACAAAAGTTTTCCTTTTAGATTCCTGAAATATAGGATCAAGTTAATGCTTTAGGATCTCTGCAGAATTTTCTTTCCAAGAGAATGTAAAAGCAACAATCACTGGCCATCTTTGTCACTTTGCCTCAACCAGGTCTTTTAATCACAAAAAATTATATTAAGTGAAGTAAGCCAGGCCCAAAGAAACATAGGTCCCATGGTTTCCCTTATCTGCAATAACTAGCATATGTCTGAGACAAGCAGAAAAGGTCAGATAAGTTGATGTTAGGCAAAATGAACCCCAGGATAAGGGCTCAGGTGGTTTTTCTTTCTTGCTATTGTTTCTAACATATTTATAAGGTGATTTTTTCTGTTGCTTTGCATGTCCTCCCCCTCAGTATAACCTCTGTTTTCACTATATTTGATGTTAGTATAATTTGGGGAGGGGAAGAAAACAAATTGTTTAAATAGGGATACAGGTGGACCCATTGCAACAATGAAATGTACAAGATGCTATGTTGAAAAATGAACTTTACAACTTTGGTGGGGGGGGGGGAGTGTAGTCGTAGAGATGGGAGGGCAGGGATGCTAAGAGAAAAACAAAGGAGGAGGCAACAATGCTTGATAAGAAATGTACTTATTACCTTGGTCATGTAATTGTGACCCCTTGGTATGGTATTTTCACAATTAAAAAATTAATAAAAAAAAGCTGAGAGATGGAACACAAGGTACCAGGCTAACCACTCTGGACAAGATAGGGTCACTACTGCCAATGATCAGTGATTGTAACCCTCATGTAACTAAGGGTGATTTTATGAGGTGTTCACACACTATTGGCTTTTTTTATGCTTGTAGATAACTAACTCTCCTGGATCCCATTCCATGTACTTACCCAAATCCCGTGTTCTCTTAACCTGTACCTGTCCAGTTTGGTAATGTAGACCACAGAACACTGAGAAAGACCTTTAAGGGACTGGGGTCATATCTGCTTCACCAGGGAACTGTATATCTACCTCTCCAAGGCCTTTCCCAGTACATATGTAAAAGGAAGTTAACAGGGCACTGAGAAACACAGTGTGCCACAAATAACGAGAGGGCAGCTGGCACAACTGGGGTGGACATGTGTTGAGTGTTTGAGTGCCTTGTCAATGCCCACCCTCGCTCCTTGGGGATTCAGTGGCTACGCTGCCATTGCTGACCTTGCGAGGGAAGGCCTCCTGAACTAGTTTCTGATTATAGCTCAAATGGGGGTGGGGAGGGGAGAAAAGACCTTTTTATTATTAATGAGACTGAGGGAGGCAGGCCATTATTTCTGGGTGGGGGTGATATCTGTCAGCAAAAAGTGATCTGCTAACTCTTCTGGAAACATTAAGAGCTGTGATAGGAGAAATATAATTGCTTGTGCCGAGTGCAGAGAAAAGATGCCTCAGCGGAATGGAGGCCTTTCGTCAAGGCAGGTGGATGGTGGAGAAGCAGGGGAGGGAGGAAGCTGGGCTGATGACCCCCTGACAAGAGAAAGAAACAGGAGGGGCAAGTTGGAACCTGTGAAGTTCAAGTGTGGAGAGATTCCCCCAAGGGAGACACTATTAGTGCTATTAGAAGAAGAAAGTGAAAATGGAGAAATGGTTAAGCAGTAGCATCACAGGGAATGCTCAGCTGAGTCTCCTTTCCCAAGAAGGGAGGAGGGTTTTCCTTCTGAAAAGACTTCACGCACACTCACCTTTCCCGTCACTACTCCCATTCCCTAGAGAGCTGAGCTACTGCCTCACAATAAGGCATTGTTTTAACTCTCCTAGCCCATGGCCAGAGTCCCAATGCTTGGGACTCTCTCAGAGGCAGTCCCCTTTCCCCCACTTTATCTAAATCATAGTCCTGAAATCAGTCACGTCCCAGTTTGCACAAAAGCTGTTTTACATCACCATATTCTTATCATTTGAATGATAGGTTCATCCAAGTATTAGAAGAAAGTCACAAAATTATTTGTAAATGTGATGTAAAGAGAAAAGGAAAGAAAACATGTCTCACAACTAGATGCATGCTAACAGTATTGGGCTAGGAATGGCGGATAGGCCTTTATGATAGGAATTTGTGCATTCCAAATCATTTAGAAATAAGCATGCAGTGCTTTTAAAATGGAGTGGAAAAGCTCTTAATAGAGTTGATGAAAACCAACATCTGAGGCTGACAAAACCGACCACAGCAGTCTGCAATCTGCTGCTCTCGCTGCCAAACACTCCACATGGCATGCCACAGCCAGATGAACCTTCTTGGAACTTCACCCTGACCAGATCTCTCTCCCACTCACATTTCACACAGCTCCCTCTCTCCCATCCAATGGGAACCTTGGCAGCCCCACGATGCTCCTCCCCCAATCACAGTACATCACTTATTCCTTTACAAGTATGTTTTCCCTTCCACCTTCCCAAGGAGAGAGCTTCCAAAGACAAAGCAAGCTGTGAGCACTTCCACAGGCCTGTTCCTCACACCTAGGTTGAAACCCAAGTAGGTGTCCATCACTCAGATATAACCAAGGCCTCAAATTCCTTTTGGACCTTTTTCATGGAAGATTCTCAAGGTAACTTGATCTCAATCCAGCCAAAACTTTGGTAAGCATATACTCCTTTTTTGAAAGTACTATAAGATCATCACATTTTTTTCTTTTGTTCTCTTCACTGTAGTTTTCTACTACATAGCCTAGCTTGACCTCAGCCTCTAAGTGCTAGGGTTACAGGTATGTCACCAGGCCCAGCCCAAGGCGTTTTTTTTTTTTCCTTTTCCTTAATTAATGTGACAAAGAGTGGAACCAAAGAAAACTGGATTTAGTTGAGTGCTTCTAAGCAGGAGGCTAATGTCACTGTAAGCTTTGAAATTGTTCTTGTAGAGCCTAGACGAGGGTCAGCACTGGGGAATCAAGGAACTCCAGAGAACCATTTTCCAGAAACATAGCCTTTTAACCCAGTGCATCCCCAAATTGAAAGTGATTCTTGTTGGATACAACTGGAGAAAAGTAGGAGCTTACAAATAGGTCCCTCAAGTCCTTAATGGGGCAAATCATGTTTCCATGGCTTAGGGTTCAAACATTGAGAAGTGACCCAGTTTCCCAAATGAGACTCTAGTCTGCTCTAAGCTCATGACCCATAATCTATGGCATCCTGACACACATGGATGGGAGCGTTTCCAGAGCACTACCATCTCTGGTTCACCTAAATCCTAGGACTTAGCACAGAGACTAGAAAGCAAGAGTCAAAGAAGAAATTATTTAGCTTGGCACCAGTGATTCATTCCTATAATCCTAGCTACTCAGGAGGTTCAAAGGCAGCCTGGGCAGGAAAAGTCCATGAGTCTCATCTCTGATTAACAGAAAAAGCCAGACATAGAGCTGTGGCTCAAGTGGTAGAGCAGTAGCCTTGAACAAAACAAGCTCAGGGACAGAGCTCAGACCCTGAGTTCAAGCCCCAGAACTGGCACGAAGTAGGGGGAGAAGGAGGAGAAGGAGAAGGACGAGGAG